GCCCGGGCGGAGGACTCTCGGCCGCCGCGGGGCGGCCATCACCTGCGGGGGAGAAGACCGGAGAGCGCTCAGCTTCCCGCGGCCGGGCCCCGCTCCCCGCCGCGGCCGGCTTCCCCCCGCCCTGCCGCCCCGCTTCTCCGGCTTAATGGCGAGAGCCGGCGACGCGGCAGGCGGGGCGGTCTCGGGTTCCGCGGCTAACCCCGCGCTGCCCCTTTCCCCGCAGGAGCCGTCCCGCGGCTCACTGCGCTCGCTAGCTTACCCCCCCCCGAAAACCCGAGCTCTTTCGGGGAGGGGGGGGCCGCCCCCACGAGCACCTCCACGGCCTGACACGCCGCTCCCGTTTGCCCGTTGCCGTGCAAAAACGTTAAGGCGTTTGCACGCGCTGCGCCCTTTTCGTCACGTCTGGTCCCTGCGCTGCGCGGGGCGACGAGGGAAAACGTCCCTTAAAGGCAGGTACTTCGGAGAACTGCCGTGATTTATTCACCTTGTGCAACTGTTTCAGTGGAAGGTAGCGGCGGCAATCTGTTGCGGAAGGAGATGCCCCACTAGCCAAGTTTTCCTTTACACGACCTTCGCGAAGGTTTCTTCGTGTCACTGCTCCTCATAGGCATTCCCCCTGTTCAAAAGAAAGTGTAACAAGTTGATTGGTTTTAAAATCCATACGTTCTCAGTTCACTCAGAAGTTTGGGACTATTAGAGTTAAGTTTCCTTTAATAGGATATCTATGGCACCTTGAAGTGACCAGAAGTATGCTAATTGACTCTAATTTTTAAAGTCTACTAGAGTTTAGTGGGCATGGATGATGGTTGGACTCGATGATCTTGAAGGCCTTTTCCAACCCAAATGATTCTATGATTCTAATTGTTTGCACAACACATCAAAGGATTTTTTTGGTGGTGTTACAACAAAAGCAGTCTGACATGTATGTAACAGTGTATGTAGCTGTAATGCACTAGGGAGATGTAAATCAGGCTTCATAGGGACTGGTTCATGTCCGAAAGATTTAGGGCTTCTGTGAACAAAAAGTAGAAGCAAGCAAAAATCACAATAGATAATTAGAACATGAAGTTTCTCCTGGGAAAATGGCAGGCTACAGGGCATGGCTGTAAGTAGGTTAGTCCCTGTCAGCACAATCACCACCCAGTTGTATCTTCATTTCACAAATGCAGTTTTTAGAATTTAAGGAAGTGTTGTTTGTTTGCCTCATGTTTGTTTATGAATTTCCCAGGCTCAGTTGAAGTTTTGATGAACAATGCATGAAAATTGTCCAAATGTACTTATTTTCATTTAATAAGTATCTGCAGCTCTGATTCTATTTTTTAAGGATGTTATTAATTTCCATTAAAATTGCCGTTGGCAGGTTTTTCAGTCCTCAAGGAACACTCATTTCTATGTGAAATATACCTTGTGACTTCCTTTCAGCAGAGATAATTTATTTACCCTATTAAATTAATATTAGGAAAATCTAACTTTTTGATTTTTTTTTAAATGAAAGCATAATTGGTAAGTGACATTGTCTGGAAGCGCCTGACACAGACATGAAACCTAGAAGCCCATACTTGCGCAAGAAAACTTCACTTAAATGATAGTATCGGTCTTATCTTACCGGTTTTTATTTTGTGCACTTGCCCTGTGAAGGACTTTCTACTACATTTGATCTCATTCAGTTAGACAATAAATCAATACTGAGGTTTGACTTCTGGATAGCTGAGCCTTTGAGACCATAACAAGGTTTTAACAGCATTTGAAAACTCCTTACTCGAATGAGTGGATTTCACAAACTTTATATTTCTCATCTGGGTGTTTAAAAATCCAGAACTTAGGAAGTTTCTAAGACATTTTATGAACTTTGGAAGCCTTAGAGGCAAATTTCCTGAGGTCCAGACCCAAACTTGGTAGGTTAGGCTTTACTGACTTTGCTGCAGCTTTAACTAGATGAGGAGAAATGCAGTGATCTGTGTGTACACTCAGTGTGTCTGTGGAAGATACAGTGATTCATTAATAACTTAAACTGGGCAGCATCCCTGTTGGTGTGATTTTGTTTTTCAGCGAGTCTTCACAGTACTGAATTCACTATGTAGCTGTTTTTTATACTGATTTATTGTGCCGTAGACATTGAGATTAATCTACTTTCTGCTCCAGGCTTTCCAGAGCCCTGATGATCAGCTGCGTTCGACAGCAGCTGCTGTGACTGACACTGCCAAAACGACAAAGGCCAAACGGAGATGGTTAGAAAAGCCCCCAGAATGTCAAGTTCTGATGTACTGTTATATTAAGAAAACTGCTACCAGCATATCATTTGTAACATAAGTAATTGAAACATTTTGTGACCCCTCTGCCCTTTTTTGGGCTGAGTGCCCAGATATTCAACCCTTATCTTGCTACAGTCCTGGATAGCTTGACCTCCTTAGCCATGAACATTCAAAGGGTGCCAATATACTTTCCGCCGTTGCTCTCAATATTATGATCTTTCCTGGATCCAGACACACCTCACTTTTGAGGCCACTTTTCCTAACTTCTCCTAGTTAAGTTCCCCCTCTACAAGAAGAAATGAGTAGCTTCAGATAGTTTCAAGCTCTCAGTCTACTGCTTGATTTTGCAAGTGAAACTATAAAGGAAGAATGAAAGAGAATTCTACTAAAAGTAAAAAGCATAGGTGACTAAATGTGAGAAGTCAAAACCAGTAACTAATACCAATAGTATCTCTGTACGGTGAAATGTATTTCCTGCATCATGTCTCGAAGGAAAATCACCAATTACAATATTCAAAGTTGTTAAAAACAGCATCCAGAAAAAGTTATCTTTTCAGCTTTCTCAGCTAATGAAAATAAAAAGGGTGAGATCCTCCTCAAGCACAGTAATCATACCTTTTCCCATCATCAGGTATCTGCTTGGCTTAGAAGTTTGACTTGACACTGAAATGTTATTGAGAAAGAAGCTGCCACCCACCATAGTCCTAACAAACATCTGTGTTAACATCCTTTTGAGGAATCACAAGGAGGAAGGACTGATGGTTCAGCTTGCTAATGGCAAGCAGCAGAATTCTGAAGAAAATTAACTTCTGTTACATTTAAAGCTAACTACCAAGAATATGTTGAAATTCATGCTGAGCATGAGGAGGGCTTGAATCACAGTATCACATGCAATTTAGGCAACAAGGAACTCTACAGGAAAGCTGAAGACTTAGAAAAGCTAAAAGAGGGTTTGGAGGACTTTGTCAATGACAGAGCAACGACTGCTCCAGCAATCTCAGCAGTTTTGTCTAGCTGAAAACAAAGTACAGGAATTAGACAAAGATGAAGCTGAAAAAATAATTCAGAGTTGTGGAACCTTCCCATTATTGAGCAACATGACCAATCTGAGTTAAAAGGTCATGGATTTAGTATAAAACAGGAAAAAGCTGAAAGGGGCTGATGGAAATACAGTACTGAAGTCCTTCTTCATCCTTTTCTTATCTACAGTGATCAAAGAGTTGTATTGCTATTCTGGTGACACAGAACATTCAAAAGTTACAGAATTGCAGAAGATACTTGATAGCTGTGCTGGTTCAAAAGGATCTGAGCTCATCTGGCTTAAAACAAACTTGTTTTAGCACTTTTTTCAAAACTCGCAAACAGGATAGGTACTGGAAAAGGAAGCAAGCTGTTTAGAGTACATGGCATCTGTGGCCTGATGTCACCTTTTATATCAGGGACTTTTAAGTCAGAAGTTGAATTACTTGGACTGAAACTGTTTTCATTATCATGGGTTTGGTCTAAGGATGATGTAATGTTAATGGACAGAGGAACTGCCAACAAACATGAACTGTATTTACAGACTTGGCAATGACACTTACAATATCCTGGATGTGTGCCCCCAACCTCAGATGCTGTGAGACATTGCTCAAGTAACAGCACAGATAAGAAGGCGTAGCTTTTTCTGACAGAGCAACTGTAATGAAGAGCTGCAGGTAAAGTTTCCTGGCACTGTATTCATTTGGCAGTTCTTCTGATAAAATCCAGTTAAATGCTTGTTTTTCATTGTTTTCTCTCTATTATTTTTGTGCAGTGCCAATAACCTTTGACCCAGACCTTGTCTTCTAGCAAGACCCACTTTCTCTGGGGAATACGCACATGTGGGAGGAATTGAGTTACTGCTCTCCAGTTCATAAATGGAAACTGCTCTGACTCAGTCCCAGGGTAAATAAAAGCAGTGCTTTCCCTATCATAAGCAACTCTAATTTACATAAGCAGGCTATCCTCCCCAAGAGACACCACACCAGTTCAGAACTGACAGAATGCCGTTCTGCTCCACCTTAGTCCAGGAAATGCTTTTGTAAAAACTTGTACTGCCAAATTTTACCCCAGTAGAGAATTCCCTCAGGATAGGGGCGTCACCTGATTGAGATGATTAAGGAGTCCAAAGAGGCAGGATCATCAAAAGAGAGAAAACATCCCTTGTATTTATTTTAAAAACTAAAAGATGACTGTTAAAAGTAGAACTGGCCAGTGTGAAGACATCCAGCTCAGCCCAGAAGGCAGAATCTTCTGGAGGGCAGACTCAAGTGTAGAGGAGTTTGCATATTTATAAAAATGGTCTGTTACACTCCTGCTCATTGAGCAGATCTGTGAAATTTGGGGGGAAAAAATGGTCTCTTCAGAGCTGGGGAAAACATCTGGAGCATAGAGATGCCATTTCTCTGAAGGGGCTTGCAGCACTTGAATTTTTGCATCCTCTTACAGCTTTAAACTCTAGATCTTAACCACTTGATTAACCTCCTGCTTGTAAGAAAAAAAGGATTGTCTTTCAATGTCTCACCTCAAGAAAAATTGCAAGAAGAATAAATTTTTTCTTTCCCTTTTTTAAAATTAGGAGTGCTTAAAATTGGGGTTACAGTACAATCCTAGTGTCTTGCCCTGCCTACTGGATGTATGCCTTTTGTAGTATT